TGAGCCTGCAATAAACCATACGGAAAAATTTGTACACATTATAATCATATGTCTTTATAAAATTTGTAGGCTAAATTCACACTTCACGTAGTATAAGATCTCTTATGGTAGAACTTCTGTATTCCTTACATTTTGTTTTATAGCTCCTGTTTTATAATTTACACTATAAATAAATATTATAATCAAATAATTAATTCCGATAGCACTTTTTATTCTGATGTAAGCGTTTTTAGATATTATATGACCAGAAATAATGTGAATATAAGTTTGAAAAATATAACTATGTATACCTATATAATAATATAATATCAGGGTTGAGTAAGTTAACTTTTTTTTCAACTAAGTTAAGTTAATGTTAACAGCTTTGAAAATTTAACTTAATTAAAATACAAGTTAATCCATTATGAAATTAATTGAATTAAAAGTTAAGTTAAAAGAAGTAATTAAAAAATTAAAAGTTAAATTTGGTCCGAACGAAATAAAAAAAAAGAAAGAGAAAAAGTTTGACCATTTTACATAATTTTTCATGTTTTTCCTTTCTCATAACATATTTATTAAAGAATCTAGTTATTTTTATTCACAAGTAACGATTACAATATAAAATTACTAAATTATATATTTATTATCCTCTTGCATTGTGTCTGAGGATTGACTTCAAAAAAATCAAATTAAAAGTTAATAGTTACTGATGAAATGTAATTAAATTAAATTTAAAAGTTAAGAGTCTAAAATGTAACTAAATTAAATAAAAATTAATTAACTTTTAGCTTTTTAACTTAATTTTTAACTTAGCACTACTCAACCAACTGTACCAATCATTTGAAAAAAGTGTATAAAATTGAAATAAAAACTTATAGCAAAGTCCTCATTACATGTAACAATATACTTTAGTTAAGCATCTATTAATTCATTTAATGAAAAGGAGAAGACAAAGACAATTAAACATTTAGTCAATCTGTGATTATTTAAGTAACAGATTTTACTTCTTCTAAAAAAACAAAGAACTTCCTTTTGCCCTCTTTTTTACATCTTCTTATCTTCTCTTACTGGATTTATTTCGACTTGTCTGCTTTACACGTGCATTCGCCTACTCTTTCTTCATATATGTCATTTTTAATGAAACATTTAAAAGAAAAACTATGTATAGAATTTATGGCTATAAGTTTAAAGAGATTTATATCATAACCCTCTCAAAATGAAGCGATTTATTTTAAAAAGAATTTAACTAGAATTATCTTTATTATCAGCGAGTTTGAATATTCAATCAAATAATCCGTAATTTTTAATTATGTATAAATATCAATATAATAAAAATAATATTATAAAAATCAATTATACATACCGCTAGTACGTAGAAAGTTTTTTGTACAACTATGGCTTATAATATTCGTTTGGCTTATAATCTTGCCTTATAATTTATCTATCGTATTTATATTTTTTAAGAAAGAATCGTGCTATATATATACAGGGTCTACTTATAACTTGAAAACCTCGAACATTTTACTTATTTTTGATGATATGAAAAAAATGTTTTAGATAAAAGTGGAATGGATTTGAGAACATATATCTTTTAGTCATGTTATTTTTTTCTAAGTGGAGACGTTATATAGATATGAAGATCACTTTTACTTTGTTAGATATAATTATGATTTTTTTTTACATAATATGGCTCTTCTGATTCTATATATAAAAATATTAAGAGAGATATTAAGAAAAGTTAAGGTTTTGAGTTATTATATACTTTATTCTGGCACGTATCCACATATTAAATTACTCGTAAAGTGTTAATTTTTTCAATCAACCTTAATCGTACCTTAATACTTTTATACACAGAATAATAAGCGGAATTAATTAGTATAATGAGAACGATTATAAAAAAATTAATAATTACGAGATATTTAATATATTAATATGTGCAAGATAAAATATAAAATCTCAAAACCTATTAATTTTTCGATATCTCTATCTTAATATTTTTACATAATTAGGAGAATTATTGTGTAAAAAAATCATATAATTACATCTAAAAAAGTGAAGGTGACCTTCATATCTATATGACGTCTTCCAAAAAAAAATCGGTGTAACCAAAATACGCCCCGTTCCAATTTATATGAAAGATTTTGTTCGTATCATCAAAAATAATAAGTAAAATGTTCAAAGTTTTCAAGTTAAGTGGACTACCTGGTAAAAAGTTTTTCATGCATGAATATGTATGATTATGTATAACGTAAACATTCATATAAATATTAATAAATATAATATACATGTAGTATAATTATACATGAAATATGCCCATACATCATGCATCCCTTTTTCTTTAGTAAAATTGCTTTTTAATGTAATAAAAATAATAATAATAATGCGACAAAATAAAAAATAATTGAAGAGATAATTTTCGCATTGTTTGTTGTAGAAAAAATCAAGTTTGGAGAAATATAAAAATTGTTCATAACAATTATGTATAATTTTATATATAATTATTAGAGCCCTAATTATCCATCGACCGACGATTCCTATTCCAATCATAGCGTGTTCCTCATAATTCTCCCTACTGTTATTCGCCCGAAACCCGAGCGACGGCGCCATGGCGGTGAAGGATGGGATATAGTGGAGAGAGGTAGCTACGGTTGATGCAATCTCAGGACTTTAATCTGGGCTCTAATAGTTATATATGAACAATTTTTCTCTAAATTTGATTTTTTCAAAAATAGATAGTGGGAAAATTATCCTTTTAATTTTGTTTTCACATTATTTTTATTTCTATTACACTAAAAAATAAGTTTACAAAAGAAAGAAGGATGTATGAACATGTATGGACATATTTTATATATAATTATATAATTTTTTTATAAATATACATGTTTATATATGTTTATATGTACATATTCATACATATTTATGCATAAAAAATTTTTTACCAGGTACCCTGTATGTAAAATAACAAAAATAAGTTTTAAGAGATATATTATGATTAATAAAATTTAATGCTATATTTATATCTCGTTAAATTTTAAAAAAGAGAATTTGTACTGTAAGATTGAATATTCATTTAAAAATAATGTGAAAATTGAAAATAGTTTTAAAAATACGACTTTTCTTTTAAATTTATGCTTCTTTTCTTTTTATACGTTTGATCTTCTGAACAAAAAAATCGAATTTTAAAACATTAATAAAACTAAAAAAAAGTACATTAAAGGAGAAAATTCGAAAGTGCATGGCTGCATGTGCTTTGTTTCAACAAGTTATTATAATAATAAGATATTAAATATGATAGAATTAATCTTGTTATAAAGATAATATACATATATGTATAAGACTGGTAACATATTGCATATGTAAATTAAGTGCTTTTATCATTTACATTCTTTCGAATACAAATGATGAAGAAACAGGTTTAAATGTTTCTTGTCACTTGTATGCAAAAAAGAAGAATTTTCTAAGTTAAGGATATTACTTCTAAAATATTTTTGAAATATTATATATTAATTTATGAGTATACTAGAGAGCTTTGTTTGTCATATAATATAAATAACAAAAACTTTTTTAGTTATTTATCGAGTATTTTTCTATAAAATAAATAAACCCGTAATAGCAACAATTATATCTTATACATTTCTTTTCCCGATGTACTTTGAAATTCATTGCTGCTACAAACTTTTATATAAAATATTTTTGTTTTCAAAGCGATATTGCTATGCTTTTTACCTTCGATATATATCGATATTATTCATAACATATTTAAATAATTAAGCACTTAATATCTAATAAACGATACATATTTATTTTGTCTCTCATTTGTAGCCACTGATGACTAGTTATCATTAACTCTCTTCCTACTTAATATTAATATCAACCTTAATTATGCGACGATGCTATGTTTATCATTGAATATCGTTCATAAATCAACATTACATTCGACAAATCTAAACTGGAATAATTTATCTTCGCCAACGGATTATTTTTTTCTCGCGTTAATTTCATTCTTAATTTAATAATAATGCTATTCAAAAGAGTAACATGCACGCGTGCTGCTTCATTGACACGAAACACTCTATACATAACTTTTATTCAATGGATGAATCATAATTCGTTGCCAATAAATTATTCATATCCTTACGATACAAGAGATAACAAAATTTATTTGATCAAGTATCCATATTTTACTCGTATTGTGTATTAATAATATTAATTTATTCAGAAAATACTTGCTAATATTATTAATATAAAATATATAATAAATTTTATACAAACATACAGGAACTTGTATATATATATATATGTTTAAAAAATATAACACAAAGAATTAAACTAAACGTAAAATATTAATTTTTATAAGAGAAATACAGAACTTTAATATATACGTGCCAAGAATCACTATTGTTTTTTATTCTAGTGTTAATTCAACATGAAAATATATGAATCAGATTTTTTAAAGTTTTCAGCTAATTTGTTAAGAAGATGAGAATAGCGCTTGCGGGAATCTGATAAGTACGATAGATACAAGTTATTCCTGTTTTTACATGATACAAAAATCTTACTTTTCATCCTTTTTCTGAAAGGTTATTAAATATAAAACGGTATTTAAAGATTATGCGTTTCGCGGGTTTCCTCGTGTCCAAATTCATTCTTAGAATGCCAGGACATGGAGGAAACCCGTGAAACGCATAATCTTTATATAGAAAGCACCCATGGAAGTCTCAAAAACGGTATTATAATTTCATTCTTAATAGGAAAAAATGTATTTGCGCATCGTGATAATATTACTATAAAAATATTACTATAAAATAACAAATATATTTTTATTCTAATACAGCATTGAAATTATATTAATACAGCATTACCATACCTACTGCAATATGCTACAATTATGATTGTGAGTTTGAAAGAATTGTTAATAACGTAAATAAAAGAAATCGGCTACTCTCACTTGTATAAGCTACAGAAAATTGCAAAGAAGAGAAAGAGAAAAAGAAAGGGAGAGAAGGTAAAAAGACAAGAAATGAAAAAAAAACAATTTAGTCTATTATTCGTCATGGATCGTATATCGATTGATACAGGCTTTATGTAGTTGACTACAAATCAAACGTTTTACAATAATCCACAATCATGTAAAGCAATATGCCACAATACTCCACTATCATGTCCAATTGTTTATATAATATTGAAAATTTAAAAATTTGTCGTTTTATCTAAATACGTTACATTTATAACTTAAATAATATTGTTGTAGCTACTATATGTAAACAAGTTTCTGTTCTCAAACAGAATAAGGCATACACGGCGATGTTAACTTATGACTGCATTAAAGGCTGTATAGTACACAAAAACACTTAAACAGTAAAACATAAGCAGTAAGCAAATGAGCTTATCACAGTAGAGATCATTAAACGTAAGCTGTGGCAAATCCAAATATTGATTTGCTTACTGTTCGTGTCTTACTGCTTAAGTTGTGTATCATAGCACACTTTAAGCATCGCAAATTGTATCGCACGATAAACTATACAATATTAGTTAGAATGGATTGTTTCACAATACGAAACTTCATATTATGTATTAATCTATCCTAGCATATATTTTATATTATATATTAATTTATCCTAATAAAATATGAATCAATGGATTTTTTCCTTCTTAGTTGCATTCCTTGAAAAGCATTCTTCATATTCTCTTACTTTATAATACATAAATTAAGATCGAACTTTTAAGCATTCTATTCTTCGTAAGTTTAAATTACATAATTGAATATGAGGCATAATTTCCTGACAATTGCTCTCGAATTCGACTTCGGATGTGACTTCGGCAATTATTATATGTAATACTAATTATCGATTCTAACAAACATGGCGAGTTCGTGAGTTTTTCAAGATTTTCCATTCTTCGACTCCACTGTCACGGAGGAGACTTGGACCCGCTGCATTTATCTGCTATTATTTGCTGCTGTTGCTGTTGCGAAGATGATTGCTGTACTTGCTGCTGCTGCTGCTGCTGCTGTTGTTGCTGTTGTTGCTGCGGATGCTGCTGCTGTTGTTGGTGATGATGTGATGAATCTGTGTTTACTCCAAGTTCACTGCTTATTAAATTACCACTGCCATTTTTATCTACCACGCCACTCGTATGCACAGGATGAAAATATCGTTCTGAAACAATACATTTTTAACCAATATAATAATATAAGAAAAAAGGTTAAAGATGAGCAAAAACAAAGGGCGTTATAAAAATATTAAGTGAATTCAGAAAATCAATTAAGTAAATTCAAAAAATTTAGAAAATAAAAACCTTCAAAAAAAATTTCGTTTTTTTCTTCATACTCTTATAATAGAACATCTAAAAGATATGATTGTAGGGATAATGAAGATAGTTTGAGATTAGTTGAGAGAGAAATAGGCGAAAATAGATAGAGATAATTGGTCCCGAGCCTTGCTCCAATACTGATATCTTCGGATCATGAGGTTAACACGTACAGCTATGTGCAAAAGTATTAGGCTCTTACAATTTTCTCGTATTATACAAAAAGTTAAATATTTCGGCGAATAGAAATCTCAGAGAGTCTTTGAAGTGTAAAGATGGAGAGCTTTAAATCTGCGAATCTTTTATTTACGATATTTTGTTCCTATATATATAAGTTACATAAAATTGAAAAATGATACTTTTGTCATATGTTTGTCTTACTTTACAGCGTTACAGTTCAATGAAATATTAGCAAACAAAATTTAATATGAAAGTGTGTGAAAGTAGGCTTTCTAAGCTCCAAAATGCTTTAAAAAAAAATGTGTATGATAATTTTTCGTAAAAATATCATATTTTTTATTATAAAATTTTATTGTATATAAACTTTTTTAAAATTAATGATCGAATAAAGTTATTAAAAAATTGAAAATATTTATACGAATCAAGCATATTATAATAAATATTTTTCCTTTTTTGTCTTTTTTTTGTATATTTTTTAATTTCAAAATTAAAAAACATTTTAGAAAAAGCAAGTTTTTACACAATAAAATGCGAGAAAATTGTTGTGCTTAATATTTCTGCAATGGCTGTAATTATACACGTCAATCCAGAGCCAAAGTCAGATCGAAGATCCTGGCGTTTAATCGCCATCAATATTATATATATATATATATATATATATACATTAATATTATACTTTAATACATAATTCTGTAAGCGAATACATTTCAGTCCTATTGTTAGTCAAATATTTTCCTTGTAATTATACATGATAAGATTCGACAAATCTTTCTATAAGACAAAACTGCTAATAATATAATTGATCATTAAATGAAACAATAATTGTAATCACGCGACTAGTAAATTAAAAAATTTATATAACTTATTCCTAAAGCATTCTGAAACGTTACAATTGGCGCCCGAACAAAAAAAATGAAAAAATTAAGTAAGTATAATGGAAAATGATTATTATAATTAATATTATAAATATATGTTAAAGGATATTACAATAGCTAGGAAATTGCATGCAAGAAACAAAAAAGAAGATCGCCAATCGAAAAATACCGAGATTAAATACAAGGCCGAAAAACTTAGTACAAAAAAATGAAAACATTGGCATGGTAAAGTTAGAGAAAAAGTAATACTGAGCTAGAAACGTTACGGAGATAGCTACAGGCATTAGAGTATAAAGATACGATATATAACGTAAGTATATATAGGTTATTCGAAAAGTTTTGAGTCTCAAGATAAAGATAACATTACTTGTCAAAACCATTCTGGTACTACAATCGTACATATTTCGAAAGATGCCTATGAAAATTCTAGTCATTTTGAATGCTCAATCAGTTGTTTGAATCATTTGCGTCAGTCAATGTCAGTGTAAAAATGGAAAAGATCGGATATCCCGTTCTTACATTTAAAAAGCAACACGCCTACACAAGTTAAAGCCGAGTTGGATACTGTTTACGAGGACTCTGCCCCATCATTTGCTACCGTGAAAAGATGAGCAGCTGAATTTAAACGTGGTCGTATCAACTGATGATGAGCGTTCGGAACACTCTAAAACTGTAACCAATAACATCGAAAAAGTTCACCAAATGGTACTGGTCCGTCGAATCCAATGACCATCGAATCAAAATTAGAGAAATAGCGGAGGCTGTAGGCATATCGAAAGAATACGTTTATCATATATTGACTGAAGAATTAGGCATGCGTAAGCTAACCGCACATTGATTGCTGCGCATCACTGTGAACCAAAAACATTTCCAAGGCTCTGTTTAAATGAAACGAATCGGATTTTTTGCGCCGATTAATAACTGTTGATGAAACTTGGATCCACTACTTTACTTTTGAGACGAAGGTACAGTCAGAACAGTGGAAGGGTGAATCTGCTCCGAAAAAGACGAAGATGATTTCATCGGGAAGGTGATGGCAACTGTTTTTTGGGAAAGTCATAAAATTGTGTTCACATCGACTATTTCAAAAAAGGTAAAACAATAACGAGAATGTACTACGCATCATTAATTAACAAACTGAAGATAGAAATTGCGAAAAAAAACGGCCGCATTTGAAAAAGAAGAAAGTACTGTTCCATTAAGATAACGCATCGTCTCATGCTTCGACGATCACCATGGCAAAAATTCACGAACTGCGGTTCGAATTGTTGACTACTCACATTCACCAGATCTGGCTCTCAGTGACTTTTTTCTGTTTCCTAGATTCAAAGTTTGGCTCGGAGGACAAAGATTTTTATCGAACGAGCGGGTATCGCATTCGTAGAAGCCTATTTTGCAGAGCAAGACGCTAATTATTATTTGAATGGATTAAAGGGTTAGAAGCCCCACACATCGCGCTGGGAAGTGTCGACTTAAAAAAAGACTATGTTGAAAAATAAAACTGAATTCGATCGAAAAAATACTTGTTTTTATGTTAGGTTCAAAACTTTTTAAAACGACCCTCGTACATATATATGCATCCTGTATAAGATGAAAAACTACTGCCAGAGTTCGAATATAATTGGTAAATTTATGTAAAATTGCCACAATTTCGAAATAAAGTCGAGAATAATGTTCGAACATATTGTATAATTGACAAATTATGTAAAATTGCCACAATTTCGAAATAAAGTCGAGAATAATCTGCAAGAACTTTTAAATGAATTTAAATGTTATTTTCACATAAAGAATATTCCTAAAAAAGGTAATATTATCGTTAATAAGGAGAGTATTGCAAGACAGGGCTAAAATTTGATTTGACTTAAACAAGGAAAAAAATATTACAGCAATCGAAAAATTTGAAGATGTTTAAGGCTCCTACTCGGCTAAGAACTCTGCGTTGACGATGGCGACGCAGAATCAGACAGTGGTCTGGCGAAACCGTAGCTACACACTTAAGCACGAGCCCATGCCTATGACGCGCTGAGAGTCAACGAGACAGCGAGCTTCTTATCACACTAATCACTTGTTTCAAGTGACCGAAAATGCTTTCTCGGCAATCTCGGCCGCTCGGCAGCCCTAGACATCAATAAGGGGCAAGGGGCATTCTAAATAACATATAAGTTTTAATAAATTGTAATGTATGCCTCCCATTAATCCAGAATAGTATAAATCCTGTTAAAACGCAACAGTTTACGAGATATTTAATTGTTTATGATTTTTCATGCGCGTTATATAGTATATCTCTTCATAAATTCGAGTAGCAAGAACAGTTCAGTAAAAGCATAATTTTATCGGAAAAAAATTATAACCAATATTATTCTTCATGAGAGCCTCGAAAGGCAATTAGAAAAGAAATGCGTATGTTTGAAACTCGAGACTTGTGAAGAAAGTATGCGAAAAAGAATAGTTGCAAAAAGTACGTTTTTCGCTTATAAAACGAAAGATATTGATTGTATTGAAAAAAATTCGGTATAAAAAATGTAGGTGAAATAACCTACAAAATACCTACAAAATACCTATGAAAATACCTACAAAATGAGACATGGAATATTAAAATCAATCTATTAGTTTAGTAGAAAAAAAATATAAAACACCGACAAAGGCCTTTTTTCATTCGCTTTCCATTGAGTTAAACGCAAAGCTTTGAAATTCTCGTAAAATGTAGCTCTCGTAATGACGAATAAATCTAACCCTAAACAATCCTGAAATGTTCATTAATTTTTGCAAAAAGCTATTTGTTCGTTAAAAGCCTGTCTGCGAAAAACTTAATTTCTACATCTTTGAGCAGTCGCACAGCAATTTACAGGGATTTTTTGTTTCTTTAAGAATTACTATCATGTACTCTTAATAAAACGATTTTTTTGCAATTAAATTATTATAAAACGACTTTAAAAAGTGGGTATCTATTTTCATATAAAAAATGGAAATAATTTCGTTAATACACATCATATCAAATAGCCGTGAAGCATTCGAAATCTGACATTTTTCTACGAATTTAAAAAAAAAAGATTACCCTCCGATTATTAGGAGCCGAGACAACAATTTTTTTTCAAAAAATTACTGTGCCTCTAGTTTTTAAGATTAAGAGTTCCATCTGGCAACAATTTGTCAATGAAGAATTGAATTTGCTGTTAAAAAAAAATCTCGAATTGTAACCATGCAATTTTTATAATAGTTTAGAAAATTTTTTCTTGAATTTTTATTTTTTCGGTTTATTAAATGTATGGAATTATCAGTACAAAATTGTTTTTGTAACACTAATTTACTTTTATATTTGCGAAAGTTAGTGTTATATCTAACAGTTAGTGTTATATCTAACATTTAGCAAATTATTTATTAATTATTTGTTTACATATGTCATATTTGCATCTGCAATTAAATTCATAAAAATAATTTTGTACTGATAATTCCATACATTTAATTGTCCAATTGGACACTTTTTATAGCATGTTAAATAAAGAAACATAGCTAATGTGACTTAAATTTGTTAATCAGACATGCATTCCATACTTAAACGTAATTTTTAAGTAACAAACTGAAAAAATAAAAATTCAAGCACGAAAATTTCATGATTACAATTACTTTGCGAAACATTTGGTTAAGTTATTTGATTATATCTCGTCAAGCTACTACAGATTTAAAAAAATCAGGTTTCCACGTCAATTTATTGCTGAGAAAATATAAATTTAGCAAATTTTAACACACGAAATCAAATATGCGCGAATCGCCAAGCGGACCAATCTTCTCCACTC